AGAAATTATTTCAGAACTCTTAACGTTTGGAGTTAGGGCAGAGAGAAGGAAAACTGGATCCTTGAGTTCTAGAGTTTTAGTGCCTTATTTAGTATCTCTATCTGCAGAGAACAGGTGGTGCAGATATGGATCCAGTGCAGCAGGTCGAACCTCACAGCTCTCCATGGTATGGTTTGTGTGGGCTGAGGATGGGAGGTCATCTGTTCTGGAGCACTGGCTGCCTGTGAACTGCATTAGGACATGTCCTGGTGTCTCAGGTCCTAGGTGACCTTACTGTCATACTTCCAGGAATGGATTTATGGAGACTACATCTGCAAAACTCTTTCTTAAGGCATCATATTTAATTTTAATACTAATGAGGTCACTAATCATGGCAATAAAAATGAAGCAAGGATAAAAAAATACAGAATTCGCTTTTCTAATTTCTCTTCTGGAGAATGTGTTGCCTTTCAGAAAATATCTTCATGAGATATCTAGGGTGGAAAGCGAAACTTTCAGAACATCCTTGTTAACAGTTGTGAGCAGAGTAAAAAAGAAAATGGGATTTTCCTTCTGAAGAAAGGTTGATGGTGAGCTGCCATGTACATGAAATGAAGTGGCCAGTGCAAGGTCAAAGGACGTTTTAAGTGGAAAATCTAGGATTCAGGTTTATGTGCTTTGCTTTGCTGCTATGTGAACCCCTCCTCTGCCCCCTCCTTCAGTAAAGTCCACTAACCTCACAAACTGCTGTCTATGAGTCGCCTTATTCATCTATGGGGGTTTAATCCTGCTGTGTGAGGGTGGGGCAGCACAGAGGAGCATGCGTGAGCTGGCTGGATGGCCCTTAAACTGAATGAACAAAAGCTCCGCACCAGAAAGATTAGGAAGGCATTTCCTTTAGGAATTTGCCAGATATCATGGAGTGGATTTTAGATTTCCATAAAGAATGCATTGGAGGTTTAATTTTCCCTAATGAGGTTTTAAGGAGGCAGGGGAGTCCAGATCACACTGGGTTAGTAAAATTATGATAATAGCTATCATTTGTTATTTGTTTTCTGGACTATGTGGACTGCATCAGGACATGTCCTGGTGTCCATCCAATATTTTTCTTTTTCCTTCTGGCTTATTTCATTGAGCATAATTCCTTCTAGCTCCATCCACGTTGCTGCGAATGGCATGAGTTTATCTTTTTGATTGCTGAATAATATTCCATTGTGTATATGTACCACATCTTCTTGATCCAGTCATTCATTTTTGGGTATTTGGGTTGTTTCCAGGTTTTACCTATTGTAAATAGTGCTGCAGTAAACATAGGTGTACAGGCGCTCTTTTGAATCACTGTTTTTGTGTCCTTTGGGTAGATCCTTAGTATTGTAATTGCTGGGTCGGTTCATATGGTAGCTCTATTTTTAGTAGCCTGAGGAACCTCCAGACAGCTTTCCACAGTGGTTGGACCAGTTTGCACTCCCACCAGCAATGTAGGAGAGTTCCTTTTTCACCGCATCCTCGCCAACATTTGCTGTTGCTTGTTTTTTTGGTTTGTGCCATTCTTACTGGTGTAAGGTGGTATCTCAGTGTGGTTTTGATATGCATTTGCCTGATTATAAGGGATGTTGAACATTTTTTCATATGCCTGTTGGCCATTTTCATTGCACAACATTTAAATGGCACTTATCACAGTGCAATACTCAATGGTCACTCAGTTGATGTTGCCTATTATTAGCATGGCAGGTATTTAATAAATGAATGAAATCAATTGAATAAGTGAATGTGAGGAATACGTGTATTTTGTAGATGAAGAAAGTGAAGTGCAGAGTTCACGGACTTCCTTATCTGAGGTCCATGGCCAATAATTGGAAAGATAACAGTACAAGTCCCAGCTCCAGCACAAGCTTACTTCTCACTGCCCCTTTTTGCTGCAAGCTTGGGGTATCTTCTCAGGGAGGATTCGAGCCTCACTCAGAAGAAGCTGTGTTTCTGTCTCACAAAATGTGGGAGAAGAATAAAAGACACCCCAAACTCTCCCAGGGCCCTGAACAGGCTGAGGTTCTGCGAGCATGAGTGTGGTGCTGCAAGGGTGGCTGCGTGCATTATGAGTGTGCATCGTGGAGTTCAAATGGAAAACACTCTGTAGGGGGGTGGTAGGGATGTGGGGAGACCCGTGGACCTGTCTCCATCTGACAGGAAGGCCAAGGCTGCCTTGCATAGGTATTGGAAATGAGGAGAATGGCCAAGTACGGCTTCATCACAGAGCTTCATGCACGTGCAGCGATCCCCATGCCTTTGCAGAGCAGCAGTGATGCACCGCTCAGACACCTCAGATTGCTTATCACAGACGCTCATTCATCAGGAGCAGCACACAAGTCTCCTGCAAGGGGAGCCGTATGAGCTCTTAAACAGAAATGCCAAGCGTGTCTTGTTGTGTTAACAAGCGTTGAAAAGGTGCAATTTATTTTTCCATTTTTTTCCTTTTGGTGTTTACCCCCACCCTGTATCTAATCGGTGAATGTGACCTAAGCCTCGGTCTAGGTGGTTCCTACAGGTTGTGATGTCCTTCATCAAATTCAGCCCCCACTCTGGAGATGAGCAGCTGGGCAACCCCATGTCTGCTACTGTCCAAAGTAAAATACCCTTCAAACTACCTCCAGAAAATAAATGCCTGTTCTTCGATGGAGGCAAAGTTCAAACTCCAGCTGCGCTCCTGGTTGTGATGTGGTACCAACATAAACTTCTGGTAGTATTAGGTCTTTACGCAGGTAAACTTTGAATACCTTTTTTCCCTGCAATCTTTAGAGAAAGGTCTTGGAACTTGGGAGTGTATAGTGGTAACACCCCAGGGGGTAAGAGAAAGCATAGACAGTGGAGTCAGAAAACACTGTTTTTGACTATCTGATAACTTGCACCTCAATTTCTTTGTCTATAAAACATGCAAAAATGACCATCTCTAATGGAGCTTATAAGGGCTCATAAATTGTATACCATGATTACTACAATTTTTTTTTTAGTACAGAAATGTATATAATGCATTCTCTGCCCAGTGTCTGTCATCACAGTTGGCACAGAGCAGATGCACAAGAAGTGGAAACTAATATCAGTTATTAGCTCTATTACATGCAGAAAGATGTTCATCACAACATTGTTTCTAAACACAAGCCTTGAATGTGACATCAGTGTCTGACAATAAAGAAATAAGTCAATTATAGTATACTCCTATGATGAAATATTACACAGTCATTGAGAATCATGATTTTTAAAGAAATGGGTGAAAACCCAGGAAAGAAGTGCCAGGTAAAACAAAAGATTCAAATCATAATCTGAGTCAAATCACATATCTATAGTTATCCTAGCTCATGCAAAATAAACAAAATGTGTCATGAACAAATATAATCAAATAGGACTCTATTCACTTCCCCAAAAAGGATTTGGGGGAAAAAAAGACCTTCTATTTCCTTCTTTATTCTTTCTGTGTTTCCCAAACTTCCCACAAAGAGTATTTCCTACAATACAGGAAAAGAGCAAACATTGTTTTTTGGTTTTTGTTTTTAAATGAAATCAGAAGCTGTACCTCATTTTCTTATTTTTATTTTTAACAAAGCAACAGCTGCTGAGAACCATTAACTGCTTCTCCATCCGTCCAAATGCTCGGCTGCAGCCTGGCAGGGTGGGACAGCACTAGCCCGGTCTGCCAGGTCAGACTCGCAGATGGCCTCCTGGTGGCAGAGGTGCTGGCCAGCCCAGCCAGGCCGTCCTCCCTCCGCCTCTCTTTTGGCTTTTCCTCTATTTATTCACTCACATAGCCTATAGAGTTAAAAGAGGTTTGTTTCTTTTCAGGCTGTTGAGTGCAGCCAGGGTAATTTAGTAGAAAAATGTCATGCTAATGCAATTCAAAGTTCAAATGATCTTTCATTTCGAGGGAAAGAAGAATGTGTGTGCAGTTGGAATGTTAAAACTCACTACTTGCCCTGCAATTCAAATAGAAATATGAGCTGCAGGGGCTACATAAGTCACATGAAGTACTGTGAGTGAAATGCGCAAAATGAATAAAAATGATCTGGAAGCCATTTATTAGCATCGCTGGGGGCCAGCACCAAACAAGAACCATGGCCATCAGACGCTGGGTGGGAAGGAAGGAGTGTTTGCATGAAATTACAATAATCCTGAAATAATGAGGAAGGTAGTGATCGGCAAGCTCCTTTTTAAGAATGTCATGTCGGCCGCCCTCAGTCCCCAGAGAGCTGTGCCCTTTCTAGCTCACAGACCATTTCCTGTCTCCTTAGGATCCTGTTTGACTTGGCTGCACTTGGCAGGTGTGTGTGGGGATGGAGCCTGGGAGAGAGGTTGTGCTTGCCTGTGGTGCTGGCTGCTTTGGAGGGGGGCTGGATATCAGTCTGAGGACTGGATATCAGTCTGAAAGAGGAGATCAGCCCCTGGGAACAGGCCAGGAGAGAATGTGGTGGGCTCAGCCAGCTCACCGGGTGGGCAGACGATGGCGGCTGGTTTATCCTTGGGGATTTCATCTCCTCCAGCACCACCTGAGTTTTGCAGTCCCCCCTGCCTTGAAGATGTGCTCTGAGGAAAGTCAGTTATTTATATCTTAACATAAATTTGCCACCTACTTCAGCACATAAGAGATTAGCATTTTCTGACATTGCTGTTCTGATCCATTGAAATTCCTTATCCCTTCCTCCCACCTGTGAAAAGGATGTGAGGCAGTAGTGTGTGATAGTTTGTCCACGTTTCTTTCTTTGTATTTTAAAATAAAATTCTATTTACCATTAATAAACCTCTGCTCACCGGAAACCTGACCTGTGCTGTCATCCTTACTTTCTTCATCTTTATTATGGACTGAATAGTGTCCTCTAAAAAATCCTGTGTTGAAGCCTTAACATGTGACTGTATTTGGAAATGGGGGTCTATAAAGAAGGAACTGGGCTAACTGAGCTCATAAGGGTGGAGACCTGACCCAACAGGATTAGTGTTCTCATAAGAAGACTCTTTCTCTTGCTCCCCCATGTCCACAGGAAGAGGCCACATGGGCACACTGAGATGGCAGCCCTCTGCAGACTGAGATATCCACTCCCAGCATGAAATCACCTTGTCAGCAGTTTGACTCGCCATCCAGGCTTCTAGAAGGGTGAGCAATCAATTTCTGTTGTTTAAGGCACCTAACCTGCAATAATTTGGTACGGTCACTTGAGCAGAGTAATAATTTTTTTTAAGCAAACACATCCTGCAGGACAGTGGGGATATGACTGATCCGCACCAATGCAAAAGCAGTAATGTAACAACCCTAAGAAACTGGGGGAAAACATTGGAATTCAAGGCATGGGTATGTGTGCAGGTGGGGTGTGTACAGGCAAGTACACAGGTGTCCTTTCTTTGAAGTGTCAATTTTTTGCTTTATCTAACTAGGTGAAGTTTTTCCCTTTGTATGTATCAGCATATGATAGAAGAATGTGGTCATAGGCTTCGTGGGGTTGGTGAGAGGAGAAACTTAGGAGATGAATAGAAAGGCAGAAAGGGAACTACTTTTATACCTGGTCTCAAGAATGGGAATGATAGGAATTAGATTTTTTACACACATATATCCCAACGTATTTGTTAATGTTTTGTTTCCAAATTGACTTATAAAGAATACTAGTTATGCAATGAAAATTATTAATGAAAGGCATTGAAGTATTTCTTTGGTCAAGTGAGTTTGAGAAATGCTTTGCATGGTTTTTCCAGGCCTGTAGACGGTGACTTTCTAAGAGGCAGACGTGGCCTGTGGTAGGTACAGAAACTTCTTTTTACTGTTCCTTTTGGGGAACATGCTCAGGGCCATGGTGCTGTAGCAGAAGAGGAGACCTTACAAAGTCTACTCTTAGATCTGCTTGGCTACTTTTGCTGCACAGCCCTGAGCAAATTGCCTTCTGGTGCTCAGTTGCTGTAGTGTAAAATGAAAGGTGGCTGAAAGGCCTTGGTTCTCCCCTCTGTTACCATTCTGTAATTCTACATCCATGACTTCCTTGTCCTGTGAACCACTTTGTGCTCTTGGGCAAGGCATCCACCTCCCTATCTTTCATAAGTAGAGAAATGCTTACCCTACTCCACAGAGATCTTGAGTCAAGATCAAAGAAGTTAATGCAGGTGAAAGAATTTACAAAAATAACATGCTAAATAATTTCCAGTACCTTCAGGGAAAAGGCTATGACTTCCCTGTCATACTAAGTGCTATACAAACTTGGTGAAATGAAGGATGAGGAATGAGTTGCCTCTCAGAACTCAAGCTTTGGGGTTGGATTGCTTAGCTTCAAGTCCAAACTCTGCCCGCACTCCGGGAATAGTCTTATGTAGTTGCTGATGATCCCGGCCTCAGTTTCCTCTGCATTAAAATGGAGATACTTTCTCCTGTCATCTGATAAGGATTAAATGAGGTAATATTAAATGAGGTAATATTAAGTGCTTAATGGAAAATTGCATGGCATTTACAAGTCTCAGTAAAAATTAAGTATCCGTCATCATTATCTTTGCCATTCACAAAATAAAAGGACACAGTAAGGATAGCAACAACCAATAAAATAAAAAGAAGTGGGGTGGTGGGTGTGGCTGACTAATTTAAAGGCTTTTAACTCTTCAAATGAATTGGATGTTGCTCTCAATTATTTGCTAGTCTCTGTAGGCAAATTAAACATGTGGATTGACTTTGCTATTAGCAAATGTTCATTAAGCCCTCAATTTGCAAGTCATAGTGTTCACTCTGAGGCAGAGATAAAGAGGCAAACTCCTCTTCCTCAAAAATTATAATTTGGAGATAAAAATATTGTAAGCTCCCCAAACAATGAAGGAAACTCAATGACTGACAGTGTTGTGCTCTCTTTAATAAATCTGAATGTGCATGGGAAAAGCAACATTTGAAGCTTCCATAGAAGATGTGGGACATGGTTGGGTCCTTGTGTGAGTTGAATTTGGAGAGAAAAAGAAGGTAGGCATATTATATTGGAGGTCAAAGAGGATGCCAGAGAGTGTAGATTTGGTGAGGAAGTGGTGAGACATGTATAGGAGGGTAGGTTCTTGAATATTAGGCAGAGAAATTCAGACTTCATTCAAGAGAAAATCAGCAGAGGACAAATAGCTTTTCTTTTAAAATGGTCTGCTTCCTCCTTGTGAAAGTAGAAAGGTCATACAATGGAAGTGAGTCATCATTCTTCTCCACTCACTTAGCATTCAGCATAAATCAACGTTTGCCTTGGGTGAACAGGCAGGTAGTTATTTGCAAGGCTGAATCAAATCATGCAGCTGATCTGGGCTCTGCCTGTGACCCTCCACTCCCTGTGCTGGCTGGGGTTCTACTCACTGGAAATGCACTAGCACTGGGGCTAGTGGGAATGTTCTTGAAGCATGAGAGTTGGGGCCCTGCTTTGTCAGGGATCTCACAGAGGAGCTTGTATCTGAACTCTTAAGAGTAGAAAAAAGTGTTCCCCCGGCAAGGAGGGCTTGTCTACAGCTTTAACTTACATCACTGACTAGCTGATTGTATTCTAGAACACAGAGAGGTGCTTTCATCTAGATTAATAAAAGAAGAGTAAATTGTGTTCATCTCATCATAGCCCCCTAGAAATTTGGACCTTCAATTTGGGGCATTTAAAAGCCCACCTAACACAGTCACTGTATCACTATTGATTGAACAATCCCTCACATTCCACTGTAAACAGTGCCTGCCTCCGTCATTCCCAGACCTGACCTCCGACATGCATGGTGAGCTATCTAAGCAGAAATGATCTTTTGTGAAAATCTAGATATTACTCAATTCCTTTGCCCTAAGCCTCAACTCTTTCCACCAGCTTCTCAGTCAGAATTTCAGTTAACTCTAGTCTCTTTGCAGGGAGAAATGTATAGCAAACTCACATGGGATTTGTGGTTCTCTGTCCCTGATGTCCAGAGTCTTATAATTTATAATTTTTTCAGAGTAGGGCTATGCAGCTCTTTAATGGGGTCTTGTGGTAACGTTGGGTAGAGAGAAGTCATTCCACTTAAAAATGGTCCTGCTTTGGACATCTCTTTTTACTTCCTAAAGAAAAAATTTAGGAAGTTTTTCTTCTTTGACTTCAAAGCCAGAGGCATTACCTAGAATAAATGTTGCTTGAACAGCGGAGAGGGAAGGAGAGAATGAAGTCTCTGAACGATTCCGGTGTCAGTAGTGCTTCCAAATGACTTTGATTGATCAGTCAACAAATAGGTACTGTTCACCATGCATAAAGCATAAAGCTAGGGACTGTGGAGAGGATTAAATAGCAATAAAATCTGTCCCTCCAACTCTCAAGACTTACCAAAGTCAAGGCATACACATTTGCCTGGTGTGTAGAGCCTCAACTTCTGAATATGCCCGATGCACAATGAGCTGAGGTTACCTCCTGATCTTCTTACCTGAGGGTGAATGCCCTTTAGACCTGCAGACCCCAGCCTCATCACTGTCTACTAAAGTTTGTTCATTTCTACAGGTAGTTTCAAGCACCCCATTCTTTATGAAGCATGTCCTGCCTTGAACCCCAGTTGGATGTAAACTCTTTTCCTTTCAAACCCCTGGAATTTACATTTCTCTATTTAGATCAGTTTTGATAGAGTAGGGAGACCAAAACATCTTTTTGGGTTGACTAATTTAAGAGAGTCCCTAATTGATCTGGGACTGTCAATATCAAAATGTCAGAGAGAAGATTTGGCTTGAACTTTGAACTTGGATACCAATTCTGATAATTAGCATAGTAAGAGAAATTTAACTGAGTTGCTGAACAGCTAAAATGGTAAGGCTTAAGGGTTTAAGGGTATATATGCTTAAGGGTATATATGCTTAAGAGTTTAAGGGCTTAAGGGCTCTAAGGGCTTAAGGGTATATATGTTCATATCCACGTGAAAGAAGGACATTGTTCTTTAAAAAAAAATCACCTTCAGAGATTCACTTCACTGATGCTGCCACTATGCAGAGCATTGCCATGAGCAGCTCCCAAACCCTGGTGCTCCCACTCAAACCCACTCCTTTCTGTTTCCTGCTGTTCCACCCCAAGATGACCGAAACTAAGTTGTTTTTATCTCTGACTGAGTGAGTCTTTGCATGGACATAAAACAGTGTCCAAAGTTAGTAGAAGGAAGTAAATAATAAAAATAAGGGCAGAATTATTGAAAATAAAGATCAAAGAGATGATACAAAAAATCTTGAAACTAACATCTGACTCTTCAAGAAGATAAATAAAATAGATTAACTTGTAGCTAGGCTAACAAGGAAGAGAGGAAACATTAATAAATAGAATCACAAATTAAAGAGGAGAAATCACTACAGAGAGCACAAGAGTACAAAAAATCATGAGATTACTATGAACAACTAAATATAATAAATGAAGAAGTTTCATTTCTTGAAGAAATAACTAAATTTCTAGGTAAGATAGTCTATCATAATTTAGATAATATAGTCTAGCAAGACTAACCCAGGAAGAAACAGATGAATTTAACAAACAGGTTAAACACATGGAAATTGCCACAGTAATAAAAAAAAAAAATTTCCAAAAACCCAGGACCAGAATGCTCTGCAAATGAATTTTATTGAATTTTTACAAAAGCACTAATGCCCACCTTACTCATTTTTTTTAAATACAGAAGAATGAATGGTCTCTAATACATTTTATGATGCCAGCATTACTTTAGTATCAAAACCAGACAGGCCCTCCCCTGGTGGCGCTGGTGGTTGAGCACTGCACTGTGAAGCTGTCTGCAGCCTCTGTAGTGCAGGTTTGATCCTGGCTGGCCGGCGAGATACCCACATGGTGCAGCAGACCTCTCCTGTCTCACCTGCTGCTCCCCTCAGCAGTGTATTTCAGTCAGTCTGCTTGTTCTGTTCCTGCTCTATCTCTGGTGAATCCTCTCACCCTCCTGCACCTCTGGCCTGTGCCCCGGTTCTTGAATAAATAAATAAATAAATCTAAAAAAAAATTCAAAACCAGATAAAGATAGCACAAGAAAATTATAGACCAATATTGCCAATGAACATTGTTATAAAGTTTTTCAACAAAATACCAGCAGATTGAATTCAACTATATCATAAGGATTATACAGCATAATCAAATGGCATTCATCCAAATGATGCAAATATGGTTTAATATATAG